GATTTGAGAGCAGAATTAAATTCCCTGGTCAGCCACAAGCTCTCTCTAATCTCTGGCATTTCACCAGACATCGATCTGTAGTGATATTTTATCCCTCACCTCCCATTTAAACCAGCAGGACTAAGATGCCTCAGTATTTTTTGAGATACCAGGCCTTAGTCTCTTTGTGCTTCAGTTCCGCATCCGTAATGTAGGAATAACAGTACTACTGTCATAATACCCTGTTGAGATAAGTACACAGAAAATTGCACAACACTCAGGTACAATGCAATCTTCCCATAAAAGTAAGAAATGTTATTTTTACAGTTGTTTTTCTACACCAATCTGACATTAAATCAACTGTTGAGCACTAAGCTGCATCCACCTTACTAGCCTGGAGCCTGGCCAGAGCCTGCTCAAGCCTCAGCCAACCCCTCTGGTGCCCTGGGTGGGTTAGAGGGGGCCTGATGAGCACCATCTTCTACATACAGCCGACACCAGCAAGTATTTCTGAAATTAACGGTCCTACCTGGTTTACGTTCCCTGTTCAAGGCATCTCAGTATCTGGACACATTTACTGCAAATCACCCTTAGCGTGAAGCATGTGGGCTCACCATCTGAAAAGCAAAGCTAATTGCAACGTTAGTCACAGTGTTAAGTACAGCACTTAACTATATAATTTATTTACTTCATCGCCCACACTGCTGAAACACTGCCTTTCTCACCAGCAACCACTGAAGATTAAGTGCTGAGTAATCACAACATGGTCAGGTCTGTATAAAACACAGAAGGCAAACCCTCTGCCCCATTTCACTTCATTATCTTAGACACCTTAAGCCTAATTCTCTATGATTTTGCACACAACACAGATACCACTGACCCGCATACAGAGAACCTATGCACACAGTAATTTGTATATTTAGGTTGGACAAAGTACCAGCATTAGGAAGTAAAACACGGCCAATAAAGTCTAATGTAATTTATGGCACAGTTATGTTTTTTTCTGCACAAGTCTCAGGGCAGTCCACACTAACGATTTATCAGAAGCTTAGTATCTGGTGGCTAATTTCTCAAGCACTTCGGAACCAAGGTATTTAAAGAAAAAAATATATTTATCAGGTGGAAAACATATTCATGAGAACTCCCTTCTAGTTCACCAAGAGTCAGCTGGGGGACATAACCAAGCAGCAGCTTCCTCACCACACTTAATCTCTTGCACATACGGCTTCTTAGCAGTGGCTCATTGTTTGCATTAGCACAACTGCGAACTGAAAGCAGGACTGCAGTCAGGAGTGAAACAGATGTCGGGTACTTCAGGTCTTAGAACAGCGACTTGAAATTAGCTAGTGCAGAATTCCAAAGTGGGACTTAAAGCCAAAAGGCTCCTGTGATTTAACAAAAAGGTTTATATTTTACATTTTAAAATGTTGTTTAGATAAAAGGTGTCACTTCATCCAAGAAATTCTGAAGAGGCAACTGCAGCACCACTCCCCGAGGCAGCCTTTCACATTCCCCCAACGGGGATACAACTTGCAATCTAGTGTAAATATTACTCCTTGTTTGTCGACACCACCAAGTACAAATACATCTTTTATATTTTGAAGTACATACAACAGAAGCGTGCCAGGTAGAAAAAAGCCTACTTATCGTCACAAGACCTGTCAAGCTGGGTCTCCAAAGAAAGCACAGTTTCTGCAGTCATGCTGTCTGCTTGCAGGTAACTCCCCTGCCCCAAGTACCTCCCAGACCTTTCGTTGCAAGCAAATTAGACAGAGGAGCTGATGTCTGAGATGTCTGACACACACAGAGGTCTCAGAGGAGCTGAGAAGGGGTAGTCCATCTGCACAGCTTGAGCTCAGCCCTAGCGAAGCTATAAAAGTGGTGACCAAATCTCATGCAGACTGGGCTCTCAGGAAGCACAAGACATCTCTACTCCTAACAGGAGGGATATCTGCACACAAAGACATAGTTTAAAGCAGCATGCAGTCTAGAACACTCAGATTTTAATCAGCCCTCTCCCTTCATTTCTAATGCCACAATTTAGATAAAAAGTGTCTTCCCTATCTAGGGCTCACATCTTTAATCATTTCAATACAATAAAAATACACTGTGTATATTCTTATCCAGTCTTTTAAAAAGCAAATTATTCCTGTTTTGTTTGCCAGTGGTCTTCCAGAGCAGAACAGGATATTAGTGAAGATATATACAGCATTTTTGTCAAAGCAGTATCTAAATGCAAGTTTAGATTCTCACAGTCATGGTGGTGTTATTTCTGCTAATTCAGTATGTCTGAGATGCTAGCACGAAAACCAGAAAACCGAAGTCTTCTGCATCAGACAGAAAACAGGTACTGTTTAAAAAGCTTCATAACACTATACCGTAAACGATCTCAACAGACTTTCTCCGGCCAGAAAAAAAAAAGTGCTAATTGACACCAATTACCGTAGTTACTGGAGTGAGTAAGAGGCTGGGTGCACCATTAATTGCGGACAGCTTCAGAGGAACTGCCCGGTGACTGAGATCCCTCAGGCCAAAGCCCCTTCACAAAGCTGGCATCACCACGTACACTTGCTTTTTCCCTGCAAGTCAGATCCCCATGAAGCACTCACGAACTGAAACACCTATAATAACTATTTTTGAAGATTAAAAAGACATCTGTAGGAGAGACATCTGTACACGTCCATTCACCAGCTAGCCGACACTGAAATACTATCATCTGTATTATTTGCTTGCTTGCTTCAAGTAAGAAATAATTTTGTAAATATTGCCAGAAGCGCTTCA